GAGAGAGAGAGAGAGGAGGGGACAAAGAGGAAGAGAGAATCTGTGGCGAACGCGTCGACGAGGGTAGGAGGATGATGACGATAACGTCAGGTAAACAGGTGGTTGTCGCGAACGACGACGACGTCTACGACGTTTATAAACAAGGTATTAATTTCTTGACACGAGCTCTTGTTCGCGAGTAAGGCGAATTAAATGTTTATTTCGTATAACGGCGTTACACCTCGCGCGATCAGATATTTTTCGAGTATTATCGAGTATTATCGGACGAAAAATATAGAACATTTTACTAGGGTATAAGATATTCTGATATAGGAATATTGGTTAACGAATGATATTTTCAAACGAAACTATAAGTTTCATATTTTTCCAATATTTTGAAAGAAAAAAGAAATATTAATGGATTTTGTTGAGCGAATATCAGAGAAATTTGTTACGTGTTTCTTTTTTTTAAACTGATTTCTTTTTTAGATTGATAAATTCGTAACGTTTATGATTCTGATCTCAATACGTATAATTGTGGGACTCAAATAATGAAATTTTTTTTTTCGAATTTAACGTAGAACGACAATATAGTGGCTTCTGAGTCATCGCACACATTTTAATGGAAGAGACGTCAATGATACGAGCGCGAAACCGCTTCAAAGCACCGGCTTGGAATTTCTAGTACAACGGGTTAAGTGAAAATGTACTTTTGATTGCCGCCTTTACGGTGGACAGAGGATAAGTACAAGGGATGAGCACAAAGGATAAGCGCAGGGAATAAGTGCGGGCATGGGCGTCGCCGGAATTTTTCCCCTGATTTTCTTGCTTCTTCTCATGATTATTTCAATTATCCTGCTAATAGTGTACAGTAAAATTTCCTACCTCTATAACAAGAGTTCTATGAAAATTATAATGAAGTGATATTTCTCAAGCGGACTTTCCCCCCCCCCCCTCCCGACTCCATGGGGAGAACCGTGGAAAACCGTGTCTCGGTGCCCATGACCGCGTCGTGCAATTTCTGGAACGACAAGGGATAAGAAATAATTCCTGCGCTTCGTTACGTCCGCGCATTGCGAAAACGAGGAAACTGGCTTATAGCTTCCGGCAGGTTGACCATATTTTCCTGCAAGTAGGACAATAGCACGGAAAAACCAAGGGAGCGTTTATAGAATTGAAAATTCTATTAAATTGAATTACGAGCATTCAAGTTAATTTAACTAATAAGTCACAGAAGGGAAGACGCCTCTTTCTCTCGTAAACGCGTAGACGACAATGGCGATGTGGATTAAAGAGCCATTTTTCAATTCATCTACGCACGTTTCCTTTTCGGAATCTTCTCCGGGAAAGAAGATCATTTTACCATTAGCGAAATGCAGTCGTGTTACGATGATGTGGCGATGCGTGACGCGGATAAAATGTGGCAGCCGATGGATCGCGTTGTTCGTCAAAACAAACGGGCGAATTCTCACGCGTGTCCACGCCGTATTTACCTGTACAAAGGAAGTGCGTACCGAGGACCGCGCTATGTCGACACCATATCGTCCTTTTTTTTCGGCCTGCGACGTCACGCTCCATTTAAAACGAAACTTTTACGCCAGACCCGCCCGCAGAAGCCGCCGTGTTGTGGCTAAATCGAAGTGAAAATAAAATTTCAGAACGCACAGAAATAAAGTTTGCGAAATTAATTAAGTAAGTATATTGTTTATATCGTGTATGCATGTTGCCTCACGTAAACTTTTTTAATAGTATGAATAAATAATAGGCGAGAGTTGAATTAGATCAGGCCTCTGATGATTTTCTCGTATTCCTTTCCTTCGTTCCCGGAATAGTTGACCAATAGTTGAACCGCTAATTTGCGGCGTCAGAGCTAATGCAATTGTCTCGAATGATATTTCCGCGTTAAACGAGAATCAAATACGATTCGCACTAACGGCATTATCGGTTTTTTCGTCGGCAGGAATCTATTCCAATCGTAAACGATAATTGATTGCATTACGCTTTCTATATTTCAGAATTATCCGCGCTCTCGCAAAGCTTAATTTTTCGCTTCCAAGTGGTGACAGGTATGTTTAACGTTCACATCATCTAAATAATTCGTCCCACTGAAGCAGATGGTAGACTAAAGGAAAATGCCTTTATAATGCATACTGTTAACCAAGAGAAATGTCTTTATAATTCATATTGTTATCAAGATAGAAACCGCACGAATTCGATGTTTA